CGCCTTCTGAAGTGTAGCCTGTGTACATGAGATTTTACCACTTTCTGCCTCGGAAAAAAAAACTATGAATTTCTCTGCAGTTCTCGAGTTCTTCCTGAAGTTCATGGAACTGCCCGTAAATTATCGACACTAAACGTTTCCAATAATCTAGACTTTCCTGATGGTATTAAAACATTCCAAAAGATTTATGAAATTCCTTAAAGTTCTCTCTGTCCTGAATTTTTTCAGTTTTAAAAGTACCCGCAATTTTACTGAAGTTAATTAAATTGCATTTAATTTTTCAAAAGTTTTGTAAATTTCATAATCACGGAATTTTGCCTTAAATCACTAATATTTCCTGAACTTCTCTGGACATCCCTGACGTTTTCTATACTTCTCCGAAATTCCATATATATTAATAACTCTTTGAGGATTATGAAGTTTTGCAGAGGAAACGACACATTCTCGTCCATCCTCATCCCCTATCCATTTTATCCTTCGCATTCTCATCCACACCACCAAAAAAAATCAGATTTTTTTCTATTCCAGACATCTTTTTTATAGAGATGCATAAATCTCTGTCTATTTATTGTTTTGCAAGATATCATGAACATTCCTGTAATCCTTCTGTCTATTCCGATTTATATATTTCCATCCCGCTCGCATACCATAGCAGCGCTGTCAAGTCTTTTTTGACATAAAATGCATCTGAATGAGTGGCGTTCCCCTGAAGTGTACGGATTATTCATAAAGTTTTACACTCATAAAGTAAATATCATAATCAGTGGAAAATATCCATCTGAATTTCACATAGCTTTCATGTGATTCCATAATTGGAAATTGCACCTCTAAATCACATGAACCTTAGGTGTCCATTAAAATCGATATGACTACTCACATAGAATTTAATACGTTATGTGATATTCAGATAAAAATCAATAATTTTATTGGAATAATATTATGTGCATTCCGAATAGAAACTATGTGATCTTTTTGTAAGTGTCTGCAAATTTTGTTAATTTAATGGGATTGCTTGAAGCTATCTGATCGCCCTGGACGTACTCAAGACTTCGCTGAATACCATGAAACTGCTTAAATTTCTAAATTCTTTTGAAGAATTTCTTGAAAATATCGCATATTTATTTAATTAATGGAACTACCTTGAAGTTCTCTAATCAACAAAGTTAATTTTTCGCCAATTTTTGAAGTTCTTGAAATGTCCATGTTAGTCATATAAAATTCTTAAAATACTCTCACATTTCCTGATTGTTGATATAGCTTCCACACCTGCGTAGGATAGCGCATCCATCAACACCAACTGCTTTACTTTTTTTTCTGACCAGGTCACCAGAGATTTTTATGCCTCAGAAAAATCCCACCGACCTCAGCTGGAATTGAACCCAGAACCATTGGGATGAGAAGCAATCACATTTACCACTACACCATTGGCGCCGGATATAGTAATATGATAAGTCCAGATCAGAGAAGCTTTCCTGACGTTCACACTTTTAAACTTTCCTTAAGTTTTCTAGACCTCCGTGAAGGTCCCGACATATTTCTGAAGTTTTCACAAGTTCTCTGAAGGTCTCTATACTTTCCTGAAATTATCGGCACATCTTAAGGGTGCTCGTAATTGTTTCCTGGAGAACATAGAGATGTCCTGAATCTCACGCTTGTAGATTTCTAAACTCCACGAAAAGTTTGAACTTACACACTTAATTCAGATCACCGAAGTCAGTAGAGTTTTACCGGGTTTTTGAACAGCAGATCAAGTCGGTAAAATTTTCAAATGACCGTTAAACGTGATTAATCAATAAAATTGACAAATTTTATTTTTTATAGCTAAATGGGTAAACTAAACAAAGTCAGAGTTGGTTGGAAATGCTAACATGAAACTTTAGTGTGATGATTTATTAGCTAGAGAATGATCTTTAGAAGAGGGTAGGTGGATAGTTCCGTTAGAGTACGGCAGTATGAAAATTGAATAGAAGTTGAAAATGAGCGAAGGGCCATTAAAGCGACAGTTTTCAAGATAGACGCACATTTTTGCCTAGCCCGTACGATGTACGCGGGGACTTGAAGTATGTCTCCAAGTCCACAGGCAAAAATGTGCGTCCCTCTTGTTGCTCATAAACTGACTGCGGCTGTGGAATAGTTCTAGCGACGTTTTCATCACTACCTAAAGCCCCACGCTGCGAGAGCATTTCCAGTCGATGGTGTGTTATAATGCAGTTCTTCTTTACCCAACTATTGTGTTGCTCCTCTCGTCAACAAAGTCTGTACAAGTTCGGAATACATTTACTAATTATTGGATTTTTAATAGATTTTCAAACTTTTACCGAACAGTTCTGTAGTTCAAAATTTACCGATCGGCAGAGGCCTGGATTAGTGTGTAGCTGTAGTTACGGGAAATGCCTTTAATATCTCTGAAATTCACCTATGATCTCTGGATCTAGCTTTTCTGAAGTACTTGGATCTTCTTAAAAGTTTTCACAGATTTTATCAAATTATCTCTCCATCTTTGAATTTATTTTGACTTACGTTAAGTTCTCTGAATATTCTTGAAATTCCAAGAACTTCTTAAAACTTCTTGCAACTTTTTTGACATGTTTTCAAGACGTCTTAAGAACTTCCATTATGTTCACCTAGCTTTATTAAGCTTGCCTTTCATTCCTCAGATTTTGTGTAATGTGAAGTTTTTTTTTCTTGATTTGTTTTCCGTCTTTCTTGTTTTCCGTGCTGAGCACCAATGCTGTCGAGCAGGGAGGCAGCTCCCACACCTGGACCCTACCCACCTATCGATCCATCAACTCATGAACCGGGGACCAACGGCTTTACTTCCCTTCCGAACGAAAGCTTGATCAAAGATTTCATGCCTCAGAAAATCCCGGCGGCGCCGACTGGGATTGACGCCAACCCGAGCAAAGTCGGTTAACAAAATGAAAGCAAATCGATATTAAAGTTTGCAGTTCCTATCATAATGAAAACTAATTTTGATTTCAATTGCCGCGACAGAAGTTTGATATCATATTGTGCTTTCATTATGCACTCAAGACTTTTTAAATAACTTAAGGTGATTCCCTGTAGCGTCCTTTTTCGTATTACACTTCGCAATTTCACATGTACAAATAATAAGGTTTCTGTGAATGCACGTAACTGAAACTACTACTTGTTGTTTGCTGCGGAGAAGCAAGCAATGTCTGGAATTTTCAAATGTAAAAACCTCGTAGATCTTGAGCTATGTGCTCTTGAAATTGCGAGGTGTGATGGAAAAATGGACTCTACAAGGAAAAACCTTAAACAACTTAACTTGAAGTTCTGCTGTTAACGTATTGTTTAAAATTTAATTTAAGTTCATGTTGTTGAACTAACGATTATTATTATTTTTAAATTTGTCGAACCTCTTAACGGAATCCTTTTATGAAGAGCTTTGAGTGTTGGTTTATTTCCTTTAAATTTCGTTCTAATTGCTTATCTTTTGACAGATACGCGTATTTCGTCTACTTGCAGACTTCATCAGTGCCAAGTACTCAAGTGGTGTTGAGTACTTAACACTGACGAAGTCTGCAAGTAGTAGACGAAATACGTATATCTGTCAAAAGATAAGCAATTATAACGGAATTTAAAGGGAATAAACCAACACACTCAAAGCTCTTCATAACGATTATTGTTTATTTGTTTTGTATAACACATTTGAGGTCATTCGTGTTTTGCTCGGGGTGAGATTTGAGCTCAAGTCTTTCAACGTGAGAAGCGTGGATGGTCACCATTTACGCCAGGCCCGTATTCAGTTAAACAACATTAATGCAAAATCAGTAATCAAATTGATTTAATTGCTAGCAGGATTACTTTTCCGTTTGATTCAACAGTGTAACATTTTGCTCTCGTTTTTGCTGTGTTAACCGTTAAGTCAACCAAAATGAGATCAACTGGTGTATTCAAAATAAGTTACTTCATAACAGCAAATTTTGATTTCAATTTGATCTTCAGCTTTGCTCGGGAAACCTTTTCGAGTGATAGGTTATTACGCTTACCACTAAACCACCGGCGCCGCTTACTCTCTCAATTTTGTGTTAATGAAGATTTAATAGTAACATTCTGCAATTGGTTTGAAACAAGCTTCCTTCACTCAAATCTTTGTAAATAAGGCATATATAAGTTTAATTGTAAATTATGTAAACAATAATTGTGTAATATGGTGAATAATTAGTAATCTTGACCTAAAATCCATAAAACTGGATTTGTTAATAATGAGCTTTGACATAATGACAAGTATGAATGTGGACAAGGTTACCAGGACGCTGATCACATCCTTTGGTCTTGTGCGGAGTATCGTGGAGTCAGATCACATTTTTATGATTCCCTTCGGACTCGAGGTAGACAACCTAATGTTCCAGGTCGGGATATTTTGGCTAGACGCGATCTGGAGTTTATGAAACTCATATATGTTTACTTTAAGAATATTAACCTTAGATTGTAAGTTTGATTAACCTTGTGTTAAGTTTGTATTTTGTACGTGTGGGTTTTTTTAATGTATGTTTTCAAGATGAATAGAAATAATTTCATGCTTTAGGATTAATTAAATAGTTGTATCGTAAACCACATTTCAAACCTCCTCCTTCCCTTTTCCCATCCAAAACATTGTAAATCTCCACTAACCTCGAGACAACCGCGAGTACTCGGTCCAGTTCCTTTAACTTTTAATATAAGACAGTAATAATGTATAACGCAAAGGATAACTCGGCTCTGTAAAGTTTATTCGATTGAGCCTGTACAAATAAAGTAATTATAAAAAAAATAATGACAAGTGATTTAAATAGTTTCTGATTTCCGGCATTGGCATGAATTTATTAACCATGAAATTAGTAGGTGGCTAGGTCCAGGTTCTGTAACGCTAACATCAATAAGAAGGGATTTAAATTTTCAACGTGGCAGCAAAGGCTAGGTGCATGGTGACATTGTTATAATGCAACAATTGAATTTATCAACCTATGTATGAATAAATTATGCTACATACTCACCTCTAGTACTACTTTATGCATGTTATCCAAATCCTTGAAATACTCTACCGTATCCGGATCACTGGCATACAGATGCGAGACGGCCGATACCGCATGACAACACTGGGCTATCACGGCACCCTTTGGCCAACTTTTGGCAATCTCTCCGTTCACTATCACATACTGAACCAGCTTGGCGGCACTCGTCATAGCGGAATCAAGGAATAAGAACGTACTTTCGGGTAAAACTAAAGGAACCGGCCGGCAAAACCACGACTTTAACTACTGTTTACGTTACGCACCGGATTTGCAAAGACCACATAAACAGTAGAACGAGGGGTGATTCCTTGCCAAATCAAAACTGCGGATCCTAATCCGATCATTTTTTCCATTTCTCGACCAACAATTGAAAAAGCCTATCAGCTTTTGTAAGCAAATCTTTGTAATCCTTTTCCTTGCAAACCAAACACCATATACGCAAATTAATAGCATCATCGTGTACGGGAAAGTTTCTCCTACCCGATGATGTTGTTGGTTTGCATGGGCGGGCTATGCTTTGCGAGGAATGATGGGCTCTTAAAAATTTGATTACGAAAGGTTATAGGCTCTTTTCAATTGTTGGTCGATTTTTAATCAGTGTGTGGAAAAAGCTTTCAAGTAGAGCTGCCCGGTATCGCGTCCTGTGCGTGCGGAAAAGAAGCGCTCTGAAGCTGTCGCTTTGATCATCGAGAACCAAAACAAAACAAACTTGTGTCGGGATCAGTCTTAGTATATATGAGTACACAAATTTGAGATATTTCCCGAAATTTTAGGGAGATTGTGCTGTAAGGATAATAAAGATGCCACCCAAATTGAAGTTCACGGAAGGTAAATATTATCTACATCAATTATTCGATTTAAAGGACGATATTGCATCGAAATTTCTGTTTTTAGGTGAGAAGGTTCTCTGTTTCCACGGACCGCTTATCTATGAAGCCAAAATGCTGAAAAGTATGGTCATGAAGGACAAACAAGTGAAATATTTTATTCACTACGCTGGTTGGAATAAAAAGTAAGTTGTTGATTGTGGAGTTCGACAGTGTACCATCACATTCGTTTTCTTCCGTTTCCAGTTGGGATGAGTGGGTACCGGAAAACCGTGTACTGAAATACAATGAATCCAACGTTCAGCGGCAGAAGGAGGTCACCAAGCTGCATTCGTCTCTGGCGGCGAAGAATAAAAAGGCCAATGTAAAAGCTAAGAAAGCCGATACTAGTGCGGGTTCTAGCAAAGACAGCGATTCCCGAGCATCCACTCCTTCAAAGGAGATTACAAAGGAAAAAGAACCAACGGTGACACCTTCGGGAACGGTTACTCCGACTGTATCCGGTTCCAGTACGGCGTCCAGCACAGCTTCAACCAGTCGCAGCAGGGCATCGGTGAAAGCTACTACCACACCAGCTCCGCCCGCCAAGGATAAGTCTGAAGAAAAGGAAACACCTACCGAGAAACGTAAATCGGAAGATGCTGCCGAGAACTCCGCTTCTGCTCGGAAGAAGCGTGGTCGTAGCGATACTACTTCCTCCAACGTCGAATCGGAAGATCAATTCGTCTCGAAAGTGGAAGTCAAGATCAAGATTCCGGACGAGTTAAAACCCTGGCTGGTGGATGATTGGGATGCAATTTCTCGGCAGACCAAACTGGTTGAACTTCCTGCTAAAACAACCGTCCAAGAGATAGTGGATAATTACGTTCAGTACAAGAAATCCAGCAAAGTTTCTACAGCCACGAAAGAGAACGCAGTACAGGACATTGCCAATGGCATCATAGAGTACTTCAATGTTATGCTCGGATCGCAATTGTTGTACAAATTCGAACGTCCACAGTATGCCGAGATGATTCAGAACCAACCAGGAGTACCGATGGCTAAGATTTACGGGGCATTCCACTTGCTGCGGTTGTTCGTTAAACTAGGTTCGATGCTGGCATTTACTGCACTGGATGAGAAGGCTATTCAGACGTTGATAGGTCATATTCAAGACTTTTTGAAGTACATGGTCAAAAACAGCTCAACGTTGTTCAGTATGCAGCAGTACGTTAACACTAGCCCGGAGTATCATCGAAAGGCACAATGATTTCCAATGAAATTTCATCGCTTCGAGATGAACGGCTGATTTATCGGTATTAAGATTCCTAATATAAGAACATTGAATTTCTGAAGCTAATGTTTAAACTAAACTTTGAAATCAATAACTGTCCAACTTTGTTTTGAGCTACCACATTTAGATGATCCGAGAAATCAGCACCCAGCTAGAATAACGAATGGCTTATTCACCTTAGAAATGAACAATGGCTTATTCACCTCACTTTAAATATGTTTTAAATACTTCCGTATGATCACAATTCAATAGATGATAATTATTTGGTTCAGTGTAATTTCTGAAACTTCAAATGGAACAGCTCTATTTACCACACAACCGAAGCCGAATCCATTTCATTGTTTAAAAAATTACTAACACACATTTCCGTTACACTCTTCTATACCAACCGATAATCGGAAGAACGCAGAAACTCTCCTCTCCTGGGGAAGCTTTCGTGTTCCCGCATACAGTCAGGTACCTCGTTTGGAAAGCTTTTGGCTCCTGAAGTCACGACGAGTGTGTGTAGTACGCCTAGCAGATGGAGCTGCGTTTTCGGTGAGAAATTTTTCAACTTGTAAAAGTGCTGAAATAGATTAAAATTTCCTGCGAAAAGTTCTGCCAAGATCAAAACCTAGTGCCGGTGAACATAGATCAGGTGAAGGATCCTGATTGCAGATAGTGATTGTGGGTGGAATTCAACGGCTAAGTGAATGCATTTTGTCGCTTATGACTTCATGGACCGTAGCATGATGCTTGTGTAGAGTGGATCGAAGAAGCTTCCTTGGTGCAATTTGAAAAGAGAGGGAAAGCTGGTGACGTCATTTGCAACACACTTCGTAGTGTTGTAGGCAGTGGATGAAAACAAACTGAGAATGACACGGAGATAAACTTTGTAAGAGAATCAATCATATGAATGAATAGTAATTGCTGAATAAAAATAATAATTCTGGTAAGCATTGATTGTAATTCACTTCCAATTATGTGGAGATACAAAATGTAGTCCATTTTGCTTATTGGTGTCATGATTTCTAGATATAGAAGCTATTTTCTCTAATGAATGAGGTTTATGCATGAACGGTTCTAGAAAAGGCCAAATTATAATAAACTGGGTTCTTTAGGGGTATTGTGGTGCATATTCGTAATCCACATTAAAAATGGAATCGAAATCCAAAAATTTATGACTAGACTGGAACTATTTTAAATAAGTGCATAAGTAAAAATCACCATCCCGACTTCCTTGATTTTTTTTGTTAAGGCTCCGCCGCAATGAGCATCTGGTTTTGCCTCTACTGCGATGTCCTACCAGGTTCCAATCTAGCGCTTGCTTGCCAATCCCCCTCCACTTACGCTCTCGAATTTCAGCTGATATCGGCTTCTGACAAACATCGTAGATGGAGCTCAGTATTATAGATCCAGTTGTGAAGAAACCCGTCACGCTGGCATCAGTTGATGAAAACCTTACAGCTTTTTTGGTTTTCTCCCCTGCCTGATACAGTCGCACAGATTTCTCGCGTCTCTTTTCAAATAGACCAATGTAACATATCCACCATTTTGAGAAAATCGAAGTTGAAGTTCGACAGATTATTATTTTAACTGTTTAAAAACAATACATTTTGCAATACTATTTTTAATTTAGTCAGTGTAAAATAACGTTGAAAATTCAGAAGAAACGATAAAATCACAATTTTACTTTAAATTTCATGCTACAACATAGAAAAAACCACATAAGTAGTTTTGACAAGTCGAGTTGTACATCGGATATTTTGACATTGGACGATTTTTCTCAATGACATAATCAATGAGTGTTACATTGGACGTTTTGTCTTCATGATACTAGATTCCCTTTCACAGATTTCAGAGTATAGTACCTAACTTTAGATTGGCCCCGCCTTTGGAAAATGAGCACCAATCATGTTAGGCAGTCCGAATGACCGAAGTAACAATCATATACCCATCATTTCAAACTGTACATTGGACAATTTTTGATCGATGATTTTCTTAAATAAATGAAAGTAAATTTGGATGGGTGTTTTTGTATCACATACAATGATAGAAGAGCAATAGCTTGTATCGCTTAACTCGATTTGTTTACATTTGTTACATTGGTCTATTTGAAAAGTGACGCGAGATTTCACGTTTGATCTGAAAATTCGGAATTTGGTGCGTTAACTTATCTGGTTAGCCTAGCCTTCTTGATTCGTGTACTTACACCTGTGTTCAATATAATGGCAGCGCATGCCGATTTTCATACAAAATGGTCAACTTTGACAAGTTGTAACTTTGTTCTCTTAACATCAATTGAGCTGAAACGTTCGCCACAGAACTATACAAATATGTTCAATTTTACGATTACAAAATACCAAATTTTTGGAAGTACCTGCCGGAAAATGAGACACTAGGTAAAATTGTTCAAAAAAATAGCAGTAATAATAATTTGAATTTTAGCTCAATTTTGAGATTTTAAATTTTACATTTCTCAAAATTCTAACAATCCCCACCCAATTAACAAACGTTCATAATAGTGTTTCCGTGCTTCCATAAATTTGGTATTTTGTAATCGTGAAATTGAACATAATATTATTTGTAGTTCTGTGGCGAACGTTTCAACTCAATTGATCATAAGTTAACAAAGTTACAAAATGTCAAAGTTGACCATTTTGTATGAAAATCGACATGCGCTGCTATTATATTGAACACAACTGTATGTCGCTCTGCACCCGCCGTCTGACGCTATCTGACTGCCAAGGTATTGGAAACATTTCGACTTTCTCCACTGCTTGCTCCGCTACCGTAAAGCAAACCCCACACGCATCAATATATTGACGCGAAGGGGAATTATTGACAATAATATTGATGATGTGAATTCAGAAATATTGTCAATCTCGATATATTGACGTCAATATAGCATGTATTGACAATACGATTATTGTCAATAAAAGCAATCGTGTAGGGTTCACTTAAAGCTGCAAGGGTTGTCCATGTTGACATCCAACGGTTTTGTTGACGTTGATGGTTAGACCCGCCACAGATGAATTTTCGGCTAGGTCGTTGAGATTACTAAAATAAAACAACACCATCAACCAAATCGAAGTCATTGAGATACTCCATAGTGATAGGCTGCCAAAGCCGCCTACACGGTAATCGCAAAACACCCAATAATGACTACATAGTAAGCATTTTCGAGGGAGACTGGGACTACCCATTAAATGAGTAAATATATTACCCATTTATGAGTATTTGTTACTCAAAAATGAATACTTACTACTTATTTTTGTAGTTGTAATTACTCATAATTGGTTAAAATTTTACTCATTTAATGGGTAGTCCCAGTTTCCCTCAAAAATGCTTACTTTGTAGTCATTATTGGGTATTTTGCGGTTACCGTGTACGGTTCGGTACACGGTCATTTCACGGAGAACAGGCTCGAACAAAATTTCTCTAAAAACTTGTGTAAAGATTCCTATTCGACTTAAGCGCCACTAACGGTGACTTCCCCACTGATAGTGTTGCACAATTTACACTAGACACTAAGTCCTGGTAGCACCAAGTGGCAATTTATCGATACTAGCTCCAAATTGCGCACAGTGGAACATTTATAGAGGAAATCAGAAGATGCGCCACGTAAATTCGATGTTCCCACTTATCTTCAAACAAGATTCTGACCGACGTTGGAAGTCTGTTCTCTGTGAAATTTTTGTAAAGATCTTGGTAAAGATTCCTATTTGACTTAAGCACCACTAACGGCGACTTTCCGACTTAAAAACCCTCTTTGACATCCTGATGGCGCTGGCGTTACACAACTTACACTAGACACTAAGTGCTGGTAGCGTCAAGTGGCAATTTTCAACAGAAAATTTATTGATACTAGCGCCACATTGATCGAGAGTGATTTTTTTTAGAGGAAATCAGGAGATGCTAGCGCCACGCCATGATGATGTTCCCACTTATCTTTACACAAGTTTCTGACCGAAGTTGAACGTATGTTCTATGTGGTGTAAGGTAGAAAATTCTACCTACCTGTAAGGTAGAAAATACTCAGAGGGAGAGATCTTTTATCTTTATTTTTCTTTATTAAAGAGACTTTCAGCCATCGGCTGGTTCATCTCTTTAGAGAAAGATTAGCGAAGATAATATTTTGAGCCAAATGAACTGCCAAAATCTGAGCCAATCGAACATTCCCATTAGAATTTGTCAGAGGATTTCATATTCTTACTAGATTATATTTGGGATTACCTCTCAGGGCTGGGTTCAATCCCAGTCGGCGCTGCAGGGATGTTTTGAGGCATAACATCTCTGATCACGCCTTCCTTCGCAAGGGAAGTAAAGCCTTTGGTCCCCGGTTCATGAGTTGATGAGTCGATAGGTAGGGTCCAGGTGTGGGAGCTGTCTTCCTGGCGTCGGTAGCATTGGTGCTCAGCACGGAAAACAAGATCGACGGAAAACAAATCAAAGGAAAAAAAAAAGATTATATTTGAGAGTATTGCAATCGAACAGAAATTCAATCACCTTTATGTTTCGTGTGCTTCTCAAACTAGTTTGTGGAATCAAAAAAAAAAATCTAACCCTATTGATTAATTGATCTCAGTTGGTTAATTAATGGCACCAAGAAATCAGTGTCAACATTTCAAAGGGGCGTAATTGCTTTTGTAAACAATGGCTTTAATCGTCGATTTCTCGCGAATAAATGCTCACACATGAAAATCAATGACTTAAACAGGTAGAAGAATGTATCCTCTACCAGCTGGAATTGTTAATTTGGAGGGGTGAGCTTTAATTTGCGAGAAATCGATGGCTAAAGCCATTGTTTACAAACGCAATTACGCCCCTTTGAAATGTTGACACTGAAATGTGCAAAATATTGCGATGCAATCAATTATTATTTTGCGCGTAAATCGAATCAAAAATAAAAGTCATGTGAAATGCTGGGTTGCAAGATAATTCAGGTACAAATACCTGCTGCCGATTTGTATTTTGTTTTCTCCGCCTATCTCTCCCTCTGAGTATTTCTAGTGTAAGGTAACCACCTCCTGTCAAAGTTCATTCAATAGTTGAATTTGAAACGTCTCGTCTGATATTCATTCATAACATTTTATATAGGGGTGATTTAAATATGTCGTCCACTTTTGATGGGTGTAGGGGCTTCTAGAAATGATGACAGTATAATTAATATGTATTGGAAAAAGCGTGAAACAGGCTGTGAGGTGTAAAGTGGACCCTACACGATTACTTTTATTGACAATAATCGTATTGTCAATACATTCTATATTGACGTCAATATATCGAGATTGACAATATTTCTGAATTCACATCATCAATTTTGACCCTTCGCGTCAATATATTGATCTAATGGGCATTTAAATTTGTATGTTATCTACCTAGTTTCAACCGGTACAATCGGCCTCATCAGACTGGAGTTAGTGCTTGTGGAAGTAACGGTACAATCGGTACCGAAGCCCGAGCATGAAGCTTCTTGTAAAGCTTTCGAATCACGAATGAAATGTACCATTCATTGTTGATTAATTTACTAATACTACTGATTCATTATAGCTGTGATGTAACTGTGGGCGTGATTGTTTGTCAAATAACGAGAATCTTCTTTACCGATCGTGTGTGTAGTGCAACACATTTTTCGTTCTCATTCTCTTCCTACATTATGGTATCTCACTCTCTCTTTTCGTCTGCTCTGATCATCGGCAGTAGCAATCGATTGGAATGAAACTTGCAGCTAACAACTTTCGAGTTTGTGGTGGAAGCTTTTTTGGGTGCGCAACAAACGCGTTACATTATTCTCTCGGATAGGCATTATACAGATACAAAACGACAATCATGAGAGAGAGTCAGCCCAGGTCAGGTAGGACGCCATCTTGATATTTTCCAAGCAGAAAGCTTAGCCGAGCTCGCAGCAACAACTGCGGTGTAGCCCGAAAAGTTACCCTGTGTGTGGACATCTTGGATTTTGAGACAGAGACGAGGATGGTTTTCGAATTCGAGCGCTTTGAAGGGCTAAAAAATATCGGTGATTTAATTCGTGTCCAGATCCTAGTTTGACGGTTGAGATTTCGGGATTCCGGGTCGTGTTGTTAGTGGTTGCGATATTTACGTCGGATCCGGTTGTTTTCGGCAGTGAAAAGGTGCGCCGATCCAAGTGTTCCAATCGGAGAAGGGCATACGGTTTCGGTAGTGATATTTTTTTTTGTGTCGCGGTGGCGAATGTGTGTTGTTTTCTTCTGATCTAGAAACTTAAATTTCGAGCTGCGAAAATCTGAAGAATGCAAATAGTGTGAAAGCCGACTGGTTCCACTAGGGTTGATTTGGAATCAGTGAATTTGATATAGGTAATGGAGATAGATTCTTGCCGATCACTGAATGTCTAGAAAATTTATAAAGTTGGTGCTATTTTTACTACATAAATAATTTACTTCGCTGACGGCTGTGTGTGGTAGTGGTGCTTTGCTTTCGCTGTGTTTAGGCGTCACTTTCGTCATCCCAAAAGAGCATCAAAATATTGACTAGCTAGTCCAGAGTGGCTTCGAATAATATTCGTTTTAAAGGGATATAAGTGAAAAGTAATTGTTTAAATTGTGATGTGTTCTCAAATTCACAGAGATTTTTGTTAAAGTGAATAATCACATTCGTGAATGTTTGACGTAAAAATAAAATATTCAATGTTTTGAATGATGTGTCAAATTGCTTGCATGCGTCCCGAAGGTACACTGAAGTTAATCAACGGTTTGAGATCCGATGTTGTGAGTGATTTTTTTTTTCAATTTGTGAATGTAATTTGTAATCTATGAAACGCTTGATAGGCTGTTACTAACACTCTGAGAACACATCGTCAGGGTGTCTACTTCCTAGGCACTGTGAAGATATTTTTCTTTTGATATTGATCAAAAGTTCAATTTTTACGAAATTCTGAGAACCGCTATATCGTTTTGCTTTGAGATGATATACTTAATAAAATTAAATCAATGTTAAACTTCAACTAATGGTTTTGATTGAAAAACTTTAAAATTATTGTCATGTTTAAAAAAAATTGTGGCAATTGAGTTGTTTTTTTACTAATGCATTTAAAAAACCTTTTTTATCAAACAATGTGGCGAAAACAGTGTGAAATCTATTTGCATAGCCGTGATTATCAAAAGAGAAGGCCGATGAAGAGAATCTATCAATGCAGATTTGATGTCCTGGAAAATTCAGGGAATTTAATTTTGCAAAGCTGAGTTATAAGACTTTTTTAATTATGCATCCAGATTTATATTATACAAGTACTTAGATGTTCAGTCTACACGACTATGAGAAGTAATGACTTTTTAATAGCAAAACTGCTTTCATTCAAATCCGATTATTCCGAATATGGTGCACGGTACCTTCTTCTTACAGTTCCTCTGTTAAATTAATCTTCAGTTTTCATCCGGTTTGTCGCTCCGCTTTATTATGGTAATGGTTGAATGCTCGAAGTACTTCAGCTTCTGATTTAAACTCCAACAAAATAACAGGAAAATCGGTTTGTCTTGTTGTCAGTAAAGGGCACAGGCACATACAATAGTACTTATGGCAATCGGAAGACGTCTCCATTGGACCGCAAAAAATGTCCGAATAAACGACTTCCAGCGCTTGACTAGTATGATAGCCTTTCTTAGGAAACCGGATGTTTTCCCATAGATGACACATTTGGGACGTATTTCTACCAGAGATTTTAAGAAACTGAGGCAATATATTTCAAATTGTTTAGTAGTAGCATACAAATATAAAACACTCTCCTTGAAATTCTAGAAGAAAATGCATACTTTTTTTATCGAATAACCCCCACCTTACCAAACATCTAATGCAAATGTTCTTGTTTACTTTCAGATTTTTAATGTGAATCAATAGAGTGAAAACAGCGTAATTCAAACATTTAATCCATCTAACAGTGCCGAGCTAAAGAATCGAAAATGACGCGCATAACGGAAACCAAGTCCGTTAAGGTGGACAATTGGGGAGTGTTTTTCCTGCAGAAGTTGCAAAACTTCTTCAACAAGACCGACCACTGCGATCTGACGTTGCAGTTCAACGACAACTCCCAGCTGAAAGTCCATCGGCTGGTGCTGAGTGCTTGCACCGACTACTTCAACATGCTGGAAAGTACCTGTGAAATGTACGACGATGTGTTGATCATGCCGCTGGATCTGCAGGCGGACGTCATTGTTCCGATCGTGAACTTTATGTACACGGGAACGTTGGAGTTTCAGTACAACATGTACGAAAAGCTGCTGAAGACGGCCCGTGATATGAACATGACCGTGCTGTTGAAGCTGTTGGAAGCACACAAGCAAACTACCAGGATGGTCCAAGGCGGAAGACAGCCAGTGGTGTTGAACAAGCAAGCTCCAACTCCCAGACCTCGAACGAATGCGCAAAGTGGTGTGACATATCAGATGCCAGCCTCCGTTGCGAGAAGCTATGGATCGGTGAAACAAATTGCCCAGTCCAGGCCTGTGCAGAGGCTTGGGCAAGTATCGAAAACTACGATCGCTCCCTTATCGACTGGGTATGCGACGAACAAGAGCATGAGTATCCCGGAACCACGCACTTTAGTCCAAAAATACGGAGCTGGAAAGGAAAGCCAACCTGGTCCGTCTAGGTTTGAAGAAACTGGTATCCAGGATACACTGGAGGGATCATTCGATGACATTTCTTATGAGAGTAAGCCGTTGGTCACGGCCGATCAAATCAAAAAGGAAGAGGAGACGTCTCCCTTCGAAAAACTGCGGAAAGGTTACACAAATGTGAATCTGGCGAAACGGCCTGCGCCAACCAGTTTCTCTACACCAGCAGCGAAGAAGCCCAATTTAGATGAGGTTAAAGAATTTACGGAAGCTGCTAGGTTGAGAAGTCAGATAGCAGCCGAAGATGATGATTCGCCTGGTTTTGCTGATGACACTCATTTCGATGATGACGACGATGATGGAGAACAACAAACTCAGCAACTCCCGACGAAAGCCAGTCCTCACACATCGAGGCAAATCATCATCAAGCAAGAGCAAAAATCTTCGCCTGGTTCTTCTGGATCTGTTAAGCAAATTACCGTCAAAGATGAATCCGGAAATGTCGACCACGCAAAGATCATCAGCGAAGTGTTGAAGAAGTACCCGCATTTGGTAAAGAAAAACAAGAACATCAAACTCAAAATCATGCAAAAAACGTCTACTGCACAATCCACTTCCGGTGGTCAAGGCCAATCAGCTACAGCCGGTCCATTGAAAATGGAAGTTCGCACAGCAACGCCCTTGAAGACGGACATTTCCATGGTTCGCAAAGCAACGGAAGTCGCACGTGCTCCGGCACCCAATGCCACCTCCACACCGGCTCCGAAGAAAATCGATTCTAAAACCATGCACGCCCTGATTGCAAAGGGAGCCGAGAACATGACCGGCCCCTGGCTGTGTTTACGTTGCGGCATCGATGGGCGCCCCATCAGTATTCCCAGCTACAAAGCCTTCCGCAACCATTTGATCGTTAAACATAAAGAGAAAATTGACGCTCGCATTTGCGAACACTGCGGCTGGAAAGCTGAGCAACGGAATCCTCATCTGTTCTATCATTGGTTGACGGAACACAACATCAAGTCAACTATCAAGTTCCCTGTTTGCTCGGAATGTGGTCACGTCGCAATGAATGCTCCTGCCTTGCAGAAACACGAAGAAGAAAATCACCAGCGGGGTGATTTGCAACAGTGCATCTACTGTAACAAAGTGTTCGCCAAGGAAATGGATCTGTACGAACACATGAAGAGCCTGCACAAGCAGAGGGCTCGAGATGATGGTGTCATTGATTTCTCGGACGACGAATATCACGTCGAAGAGGAGGAAGAGGAGGAGGAGGAAGATACAACCGCCACTCCAAATACGAGCCAAGAAAAGCAAATCAAGGTGTTGTCCAACATAAGCATTACGAATAACAGAGGAATTCCGTTTGTTATCGACCACAGCCAAGCGCAAACGGTTTCCCAAATCGGAGGCAAATCACAAATCCAGCTGCAACAGATTACCCTGGAACCGTCGTCGGAAGCAGAAGCACTCAGTAATGTGGCATCCGGCATAGCCACCAGTTTAGGTTTGGTGGACAGTGCTAGCGTCGTTATCGAGGATCACAACTTCCCAGGCCAATACATCGAACATCAGATGGCGACGGTGCATGGCGAAACGGGAACGACTACCACAGTGACGGCTACCGGGCCGGATCAGCTGACCAAGTTGATTACGGAGGACGGTACGGAGTTGCAGTTGACGCAAAGCCAGAAGGAGGAGATTTTCTCACAGTTGCAGAATAGCGGAAACGGTAACGATGATTTATCGCTTTTCTTTAATTACCTGTAGCTTAGTTATTGTGTTCGTTATTTTATCGCTACCTAACAGTTGACCAATACTGCCTGCCTGTTACAATTGGTTTTCGAGCGTAATGTTTAATAAAAAAATCAGTATTTTCGAATATTTTATATACTGGAATAATGGAATACCCAATTGGTTGATTTAATTGATGAGTAAAATCAATATGCTTATTGTTCGGACCGAGGTACTCTGGGGAAGAACGATGCATAGACCGTTTCAGAAAGTGTGGACACCATCTCATGTTGAGATAAAACTCTTTTTTCTTAACAAGCTTCATTGAATAAATTAATTCCACGTTTCCGTTAATCTTACGCTAATGATCGGAATTTGGATCGAACCATGTTCAAAGGGTAATTTTCGATTGTTCTAGCCATATTTGTCCAGTATTTTCTTATTATTTTCGATTGAATCCACTGACGTGTTATGAACATATCTAGCTGAACAATACATTAGGTTCTAAGTAACATTGATCGATTATCTTCATCGACTTTTTTTTTTTAATAACTTGGGTACATAATCGTTTCTTGTCGTGTTTGTAGTTTTTTTTGCTTTGTTAGAGAGATTTTTAGCCTTGGGATGGTTCATCTCTTCGTGTTTGTAGTATTAGAAGCTAGATAATAGCTTCTTTCATCGATCTTTTTGCTGAAAATAGCTGGGAATATCTTAACATGACCTGGCAGTGAGGATGCAAAGAGAAAGTCGATGAAGAGGATCTGTAAATGTTACTTAGGACCTAATGCATTATTCAGTTTGATATGTATTGACCAGAGTTAAACAGGTTTCGGTAGGCTGGACCTCCGTACAGCTAGAAGGATTAATCTTATTGAGAATTAATGGTTTTTGGTGGTTTTTCGTACAACATTCTATCATATAGTTTACAAGCCATCGGTTTGACGGATGCTACCTGTATAGTCAGTAAAGGCACGTCCGGTCGAGGGAATCTTTCGGGTTGGAAATTTTCTCGACTTCCCTGGGCATAGAGTAATGATACTCTATGCCCAGGGAAGTCGAGAAAATTTCCTGCCACACAATATACAAATTCATGCATTGGTATTGGCATCGAAAGCTCTCAATTAATAACTGTGGAAGTGCATTTAGAACACTAAGTTGAGAGCACGTAATAAGCTAATATGCGCTAAGCAATAAGCTTGAAATGCGAACAGGAAGAAGAAGAGCTGTTTGGACCTCGTGTCGGTTCTTCTGCTTTTTTAAGGCCTTTAGAATGTTTCTAGCTTTGGCACGTTGGATGTTTCGCGTCGATATTCCTAGTTATTAGCCAAATCTCGAACAGAGGCACTCTTCTATTACAGTGAACATCAGTTTGAGTGATCTTTCGGTCCATAGGTTCCTATTTTCCGCCGGATTCCGGTGTGTGCTGAAAGGTAATATCTTCATAAGACTTCCGGACATCGGTTCGTTTTGCTTTGATACCTACTACCTCTATTGTAGCTAAATCCTGAGTAAAAGGTTAGGAAAGCAGCACAATTTGTGCTAGATTTTGTTGCGTGCTCTTCCGGGAAAATGTCCTGCATTTTGAAGATTTCGTAAAAACTTGCGCTATATATTCCTCAACGCACAGACTTGTTGAGGAATATATAAACAACAACACTAATCGATGAACAGTTGCTTAACGTCGTTGGGACAAAAATGGTTCCATGTTGAAAGTGTGTCCATACTTTCTGAAACGGTCTATAGAACCACAAACAAAATACACAATATTTGAAAATTGACTACTAGTTCCTCCCTATGGACATGGAGGTTAACGTTACTGAAGTAAGGGGTAGCATTTAGTCTCTTTATATTTACAAGTATGATGATTTTCCATAGTGAAACATATTGCCATAGCGAAATTAGCATTTGGCGTTAGATTATCAGCTTTAATAGCATGCTGTGGCTGTCAGTATGCCTCAAAGAATTTTTCCCCAAATGGTACATTTCTCCGAAAGCACTAGTTCCCCGACTAACTTACAATTTTCAGTAATAGACTGTAGATTGGATTTGTAGGCGTCGTTTATAGCAAGCACCGATAAATATGTTGTTGCTTCTTTTGCCCCATATTGGATTTACCTCAACTGTGTGTTAAAATCCTTGAAATTTACCTTGGATTTGTTTTTCGAAGTCCATCCATTTATTTGCCAGCAATAGTATTATTCTAGCCCAATTTTATTCATCATTTTGAATTTTAGCCCAGAATGAATGAGAAATAAACAAAATGCATCTTGAAACATATTTATCGATCAAAGATACAGCTATTTAAGAAACCAAGTTTAAAAAGGTTGGGCAGGCCATTCTAATACAAAAAAACACGATCAAAAACGGATTAGTAGCCGAGTAATTAACTAAAGAGAACGTAGATGATCAATGTTATTCACGACCTTACGCATTTGATCAGATGACGCTTTCTTCTAAGAAGAATTAAAAAATAGAAGTTTGTGAGTTTTGAGATCCGTGCTGTTGACATTGAGAAGCATATGGGAGTCCTCATCCAGGATTTTTTTTTAAAGTGAAATTCCCCTCTACACAGCATATCCATGTTTTGGCATAGATACATATTAGCAAGATATTGATAATATATAGGGGAAATGGATGTAATTTCGGTCTAAATGCCCCTAATTTGGATCCATACATGAATTCAGCAATCAACTAAATTTTCAATAGCGACCAAAAATATCCATTAGTACCGTTCCAATGACGTGTTCATCTAGATAAAATTGATAAATAGAAGATTTTTGCGATGGGCCCAATCTTAGATCCATAGGCCAACATTGTAGCCATTTCCCCTACTTAATTGACCACTTTGTCAAGCAGTTTTGGCGTGACTTTCTACCAGCGATTTCACAAAACTGGACAAACTGATTTCTATTTTTTTATGAAACGCACAAATCAGTACCAACATTTCAAAGGGGCGTAATTGATTTTGTAAACAATGACTTTAGCCGTCAATTTCTCGCGAATGAAATTTTACCTCTCCAAAATTGCTGCTAGCTGTTAGAGGAAACATTCCTCTACCTGCTGGTATCATTATTTTTCATGAGTGAGCTTTTATTCGCGAGAAATCGACGGCTAAAGCCATTGTTTACAAATGCAATTACGCCCCTTTGAAATGTTGGCTACTTTTCTCGAAGTTCTTGAAGAAAAAATCTCAAAATAATGTTTATTAAAAGTTCGAGTGGTAGTAAACGTCATTTTAGCTGCTCGAATGAAGTGGTTAATTGTTTTAGTTTAAAGTATATAAACACAATTGTGATGTCATTTGATCCTTCCATTGTGATTCAGACCTCACTGTACCCGCTGGGAGAAGATCCCTTCACAGTTTGCTATAAAATTAACTCCCTCGACATATATGCTCCATTCGATCAGACGTCGGTGTAAAAGCGCCTACTGGTATACTATCTATGCTTTCGATATTTTCGCAACATCGGCTACATCGCATTAGCCACGTGAACATCGATTTCTGTTGCGTATATTTGGGGCTCGTTGGTACATTTTCAAGTTTTATCGTTTTGTTTAATATGGTAGTTAGAGGAAATGTTTGCAACTGAACACAGTTCTATGTGATACCTAGTATTTTTTAAACCACGAAATAACTGTTTTCTATCGTTTTAGGTGGCAACGTGGTGATGGTACTGAACGATGAGAACTTCATCAGCGGTACCGGGCTTCACCTGGAAGATGGTACACAGTTGATCTCGTCCGCCGCATCCACCGGTCATAACTCGAACATTGTTGTTATGTACACTCAAGCCGAACCGGATCATACCACTCACAGTACAGTCACAACTACAGCACCAGTGACAACGACAGTAGCTTCAACCGTCACCAGTGAGAACATGGAACATCACGAAGAAGTCGAAGCAGCGGAAGAAGGAGCATCCAAAGGCACTGCTGCAGTCGCTACTGAAGATGAGACATCGCAAGCATCGACGCAACCCTCGGAGAAGGCCAGTGAGAAGGATTCAGAAAACCAGCAAATGGAAGTTGATGCCGAGAACAGTCAACACGATGCTGATTTGAGTGAATCGGCTGATGCTGAAGATTCGAAGCATGAAGAAGAGGAGGAGGAGAAGGCTGCCAAGGAGCGGGAAAAATTGAAACTAATATCTGAGTTGGAAGGCGATTGGTCCGAGGATACAGAAGAACACCCCGTTGCTACAGAGCAGAAGGAAGAGGCGAAAGAGCCGGCAAGTAAATCAGTGGAGCAAGAGCCAGAAAAACAAACCGAACAAGAGATAGAAAAGGAGCCAATCAGTGACAAATCGAAGACTGCTGCTGCAGCAGCAGAGAAACCCAGCAAAGCTAACGAAAAAGAAATAAGTCAACTGTTGGACGATTGGAACAGTGAGACAAAGTTGACCGAAAACGATTCCGATGCTGACCTGGAGAAGAAGTTAGAGAAAGTTGTCGGTGAAAAGCATGCAGAACATAAAGATGAAAATAAGGAAGAAAAGGAAACGGAAATGCCCATGGAAACATCAGCAGCTGATAACACAGCTGACAGCGTGGATAGCAGTATGAACGAAAACGATACTCATGTAGTGGTGTTGGCTGCCGAAAGTGAAACGGAGACTTCGATGAAGGAAGACGACGCTGACAATAGTCAGGAGGAGAAACCAGCAGAAAAACAGAAAAAACTTGAACCCGAAAGTAAAAACGACACCACTGAGGAAGATCAGGATGATCCGAAGGAGGATGAAGAGGACAAAGCTAAATCGAAGGAAGTGGTGAGCTCGTTGCTTGGAGATTGGGACGAAGACGATGATCTGTAGAGAGTTGTTATATTCTTATAGCATAACAATAATATCATGTGACTTTTTAGAAAAGATACGATGTGCTAATATTAACAGTAGCATTCAAAGTTTAAAATGAACGGTAATAGCATTACACTGTTACTAATTTTATAGATCAAGTTTTATATTTAATATATTACGTGAAATTGTCTTATTTTTCTCATATTAGAAATATTTTGTACTAACTACTGCACTGTTCACTCCATACATAGCAATTTATGCCTTTGATACTTCAAAGAATAGATACAAATCGAAAGAAGCATGATTCTTTCTAAATTTTTCTATTCTTACAAAACTATCGAATCGGATGTCCGTCAGCTGTGGATTGCCTGTCCGATTGGTGAATTGTGGCTGCTAAACATCGCATAAAATGCCATCTACGGATTGAACATCAAATCTCATTATTGGTTCGTGTCTTTGATTTGTGATACGTTTACAGAATCCGTTTGCCAACGAAGAACAATTTCATGTCAGAGTCGATGCTAATAATAGCCACGAAGCCAGAACTACCAATCGAACTGTCAGCCTATTGCAGTCATTACTAAAGATACTTGAATCAATTATTATAAAAAATTTTTGCTGGATATTTAGTGCATGTTGTCCTTGCGAAGTTATAGCAAGCATTTAGTTGATATTATTTCAGGTCGCCTAAATAGTATTATCTTCCTGAATCTTTGTCATCGACATGATATCTGTTTTCTTCATAATCAATGTCACTCGATGCTAACGCAAAACATGTGGTTGCCGCTAACACTGGTGAAAAGCGAAGACAACAAATCGTCTGAGGATGTAATATTTGCTATAAAGTTCGTTCGAAGCATTTACCTTTGAGCGGCAGATGACGCGATTGTACCTGTATCAGCGTTCGTATGAGAAAATGGCAGAGTTGCCAGTCTTCTTGATTTGTTGTCTTCGTGAAAAGTCAATGCTGCTTGTTTGAAACATTTTATTTTTACGGGATTCTAACATCGACTCTGATGCCTTCTACGGAATAGTTCTTTGCTTTCAACTGGATTTTCATGATTTCATAAAATTTCTCTCGTAAAAAAAATGGTTTTCAGACAAATTTGGCTTGATTGAAATGAAATTATAGTCTATTTTTTCCTTTAATTTAAGTGTCCCTGAAAGTACTAAACTTTAGACGTCACTGTCGTTAGAGCATAAGCGAATATAAAATGGACCATACTGTGAATTGGTTAACGTTTTAGTTGTTTAAGAGATGTTTCTTGTAAGCAGTTTAGTATAGAAAGATGATGTAAAAAATATAAACTGTCATTGGAATAGGTGTTATGTGCTGCATCCGAACTAACCTAGACATTTATGAAGGTGCAAAAACCAGTCGTCATTGTATTTCTCCTGTCATTTTACATAAGATGACGACAGCTTTTTGCGATCTGCATTGATATGTCGAAAATAACTGGGTTTGAAATTTTCAAAAATGTGCCTAATTAAATTGCGCTTAAACAGTTTCCAGAATTTTCAACAAAAGGTGAAAATGTCATAAATGATATGTGAACTTAAATTTAACATTATTTACGAAGATAAACGCATTTAAACGTTTTTTAAAATACCCAAACACCCCTAAATTTACGATTTAAAAGTTATTTATATGGAGATAAACGTGATTTAAAATTTAAATTTGTAAAAAAAAAACCATTGGAATCGAAATGTATGCACGCGATTTGAAATTTTCATTAATTCAAAAAACCCTTAAATAGAAATGTAGGCCGGCAGATAAATGCAGTTGATGATGATGGTCCCATATCTTATCGATTTATCTTAGTTTTATCTATCTTATTATTTATCTATTTCTGGTATTTTTTACATGTATGAATTAACAAGTGACACAGATGCGTCTTTTCAACTTAAGTTCATTTTTAAATTTTTATTTATTATTTAAAGTTCCTAGTCCTATCAGGCCTGTTTTTAAGAATGACCACCTTGGTGGGATTGGTTTGTTTTAAATTGGAAAAGGGAAACTACTTATAACTACTATTTACAACTACAACTACTATGTACAACTAACCTACTATATACAAATTGCTTATCAAAGCATGTTCTGATACATTGCATTTTTGTGCAAATTTAGTCTTAATTTCGTTAATTCTGGAATCTATTTTTGGAATGTCTGCCTCTTCGTGCATTCTGCTTTGTGCCACCTGGACTTTGTGAGTTTGAGCACTTGATTACCACACCGGTGCAGCGTAGAAAATTGCAGGTGCTATGATTTGATTGAAGACAGCCAGTTTGTTAACCCTAGAGAGGCGGGATCTGCGAGAAATCAGCGGATACAAACACCTAACTAAGCTTGAACACTTAACTAACGTCTTTTCTATATGCGAGCGAACAGGAGCTTCTCATCGAATACCATTCCAAGGTACGTAACTTCAGCAGACCACTCAACCCTTGTGCCATCCATGACTACTGTGCAAGAAGGTGCCGGTATCAGTTTGGGTGATTGCCTATGCAGGAACATGATAGTTTGGGTTTTGGAGGCATTGATTTTGATTTTCCAAGTTTTTGTATAGTCAGCAAAGGTGTCAAGGCATCGTTGTAGTTTGTTTGTAATTTCGCGAGGCATTCTGCCCTTGTATGATATCGCGGTATCATCTGCGAACAGGAAGAACACGCAACCGTCTCCGAGGCGAGGAATGTCAGAAGTATACAAGCTGTAGAGCAAGGGGCCCAACAAACTGCCTTGCGGAATGCCTGCCGGGATGGAAAATTTGTCGGAGAGACAACCATTCAACGATACCTTGAACGACCTTTGCTGAAGGTAGTTACGGGTAATTTTGATCAAATGCAACGGTAAATTGAAGTTACAAAGTTTGTATATAAGTCCGTCATGCCAGACATTGTCTAACGCCTTTTCGACGTCTAGCAAGGCCATGGCTGTGGACTTGGATACAGCCTTGTTACTTCGAATGTTGTTCATCACCCGTACTAGTTGATGAGTGGTGGAGTGCCCCTTCCTGAACCCAAACTGTTCCAGTAGGAGAATATTGTTTTCCTCCACAAACTTGAGCAATCTATTGAGAATGAGTTTCTCGAACAATTTGCTCAGCGCTGAGAGGAGGCTGATCGGTCTTTAGCTTGACGGCAATGCTGGATCTTTACCGGGTTTGCGGATCGGTATTATTTTTGCTATCTTCCAGATGCTTGGAAAGTAGTGCAGCTCCAAGCATCTGTTGAAGATGGCAGTTAAAAACTGCATAGACTTGCATGCTAAGCCTTTTTATAATTAGGTTAAATACGCCGTCAAAACCGGAGGCCTCCATATTCTTTGAATATTTCAGCGCTGAACAAATCTGTTCTACCGTAATTCTATCCTCCGGAGGCATGGCACAAGGGGAGTAATCTACATTTTGGACGCATTGCGTCACCTGATTTTCGAGCGGACTTTGGATAGTTGAGCCAAGCAAATGCGATGCAGCAATATGATTGCCAATCGCATTTGCTTTCTCTTGTGGGGTAATAAGCCGATTGTCATCATTTCCAACTCTGAGAGGTGGAACGGGTTTGGGATGATTTTTCAGCACCTTGGCTACCTTCCAGAATGGACGGGAGCGGTCATCCAGATTCTGAACAACACGCCCGAAACTTTCATTTCGGAGTGAGTCCATTTGGAAGCAATCTGCCTGTTCAGATCGGCCATTTCATGTTTTTTGCTCAGATCTCCAGTCCTCTGAAACTGGCGTCTGCGCACATTTCTCAAACTGGGTGTGAGAATCAATGTTAACAAACTTACCCCTCACAGGAACTTGTCGAACACACGTCTCGTCAGCCATGGATATGGCCTGGTGGAGTCCTTCCAGAGCCCGGTCGATGTCCTCTACGGTGTCAAACGGCGGATTTTCGTTAATGTTCCGGTCAACCACACGTCCAAACTGGACCCAGTTTACGTGGTGGTAGTCTTTTCGTAGGATTGGAGCAGGAGCTATGTTGATGCCGACCTCAGCCACCACCGGTTGGTGATCGGAGCTTAAGTCATTGATTGCCACCGGCTTGGATAGCCCGAAGTTCGTCAGGAAGAAGTCCAGCGTGGAAGGGTTTCCCGCCGGAGAGATGAATGTCACCCTCTCGGTCAAGTTAGTCAATTTCTTTTTAAAGCTCTCCAATTCTGCATCCTGATCGAACGCAACACTGATCAGTGGTTTTTTTTTTGTTTTGTTTTTTTTTTTTTTTTTTTTTTTTTTTTTTGTTTTTTTTTTTTTGTTTTTTTTTTTTTTTTTTTTTTAATTATAGTCACTTTAACGCTCTTGGGTCATTCGTGACTTGTCCGGGGGTGAGATTTGAACTCGTGACTTTGGTGTGAGAGGTATTAATGCTAACCACTACGCCGGGGTCGCCCCCTGATCAGTGCTTGTTCCAATGCATCGCAAACCATTGCGATCTCTTCGCCCAATTTGCGCACTTCCATGATCATAAGCGGCAGCCGGTCTATTGCCTTCATCCGCTCAACCGGATCATCAGTTGTCGTTGAATCCGAGTCATCGTCCTTGTCGCCACTTTCGACCGAACCACCATTGGTCGTTGTCTTACCATCCTCCGATACTGTGTCATCAACGCTGCTTGCCAACACTTGCAATCGTTTACGCAGCGCCCGGTGTCGCACTTTGCTATTGTTTGTCGGTGGAGGGGTTGGCGTTACGCCCCGGTCCTCTTCGTCTGACGATGAATCTTTTTTCGCTTGGGTAAAACGTACCTATATAGTAGATTTTCTTTTTGCTCCCATTTTCACCTGTGTGATAACAATTCACGTATACTATTCATTTGACTCATAAATTTCATGTGTACTTCTGAGTGGATTCTGTTGATGTGTGGACACATTAAAATCATGTAGAATTTTACATGGATGTTCGTCAATAAAAATGTGTCGAATTTTATGAGTGTAAGCTCGTTGAAGACATTCTTGTGACGAATTTTGGTGGAGAGAAGCAGCAGCAGGAACTGCTGCACTGCAGTCAAGGAGAGCAGCCAAGAGCATCGCGGATTCGTGTAGCCGTGACCGAGGCTGGAAACCTCGGTCCGGTCACGACAAAACGTTCATTTGATTTCCATGAATGATGGATCGAGTAAATCGAAATACGTAACCAACACCAATCCGAATCCGAACCGGGAGCCGACAAACGAAGAAATACGCTACTTAGTTCCTCACCTGCCGAAGTTTAGTGTAAAGCGCCCATTACACATGTCAATATATTGACAATAAATTGACATACTGACAATATTATTGAAAAGGTGATATTGATGATGATTATTGATGACAAGTATTGACGAAAAGCTGATTTTCATTTCACTTTGTCAATACACAGAATATATTGACAAAAAAAACAGTCAATTCTATCAATATCATCAATATACGAATATTGACAACATCAATGGCAATACGTTTGAAGTCTTTTAACCTCAATGTATTAAAGTCAATATTACTTGTCTTAATTTCCCCACACAAGAAACATGGATCAGCGGGTCAAAAGAGAAACGTCGTTACTGGACCTATGCACTGAAAAAAGTTTTCATATAGTTTCCATTGGGAACGCACATGATATTTTTCCAATAACAAAATTAATGATTTTTATCTGAAATTCAAATAACGTTCATACGATCACATGAATTGTATATGACAAATCACATAAACTTCATTGGACACATAAGTTTCATGTGATTTTGTGATGCGATTCCCAATTATGAGATCACATGAAAGTTAAGTGAAATTCTAATGGAAAACGCAGAAACGTGAAACGCAGATAGTATTTATTTTATTTTAAAGTAAAAAAAAACAAAATTACATGATTATGCTTGTGATTTTGTAGAAAATGAACATCGATATAGACGAAGCCTGGGTAGTGATTGGCGACTGTAAAAGGATACTTTTTTATTTAGTTTCCCGAATAGAAATTGTAATGTAGGAAACATCAGCAGACATCTTCAATACATTAAATTTTAACGTGTATTGCTGTAACCTTAATGTATTCAGACTTCAGTGTGACGTCCAAGTACATAAAAATACATTAGCCTCAAACGTTACATCAGAATCAAACGTCTTGACGATGTAAAATTTGACATCAGAATACATCCAATAACAACAGAACCTAACGTTACGTCAGACCGACATTAGAATGGCAAAATTTTGTTCCAAAATTTCTGATGTATACACCATGTTACGTTGCTTAAATACAACTAAATCATAATGTTTCCTAATGTTTGACATCAGGCATACATTTGATTTCGATGCTGATGTAGACATCAAAATCAAACGTTGGGCTAATGT